GATGCGGGACTCGATTCCGGGACTCCAGGATCATGACCTGAGCCGAAGGCAGTTGCTTAACCAACTGAGCCACCCAGGCGCCCTAAACTTTTCCTTTAAAACTGGAATCAAGGCGGGATGCCTGGGTGGGTCAGTCGGTTAAGCGTCTACCTTCAGCTCAGGTCATGATACCAGGGTCCTGGGATCAAGTTCCACATCGGGCTCCTTGCTCAGTGGGGAGCCTGCTTCTCCCTCTCCCTACTTGTGATCTCTCTCTGTCAAATAAATAAAATCTAAAATAAATAAATTAAAACTGGAATCAAGGCAAATGCAAAACAAAAAGAATCTCCAGAATGTTTCCCTTGGGAAACCAGCATTGCTGCGTCCTTCAGGTAGGCCACTCTGGCTGTGTCTAACCTTGACGTACACACTGGGACAGAGTCTTATCCTCATAGATTTGGGGGTGGGTAGATAACGTGAGCCCTGCAGATTAACGTGTGAGAACCACCGCCCGTCACAGTTGGTGAGACCAGCTTCAAGGTGATCCGGGGATTTCTGTGCAAAGCCGTCTCCTGCTGAAGCTCCAGAGCTGAGAGGCTCGCTGGCGGCTTCATCACGTGGCCTCTTCTTTCATGAGGGAAGGATTTTCTCGGCCTTCATAAGAGCTCAAAGTGAACCCAGACACATTTAAAGAAGGACAAATTTGGGCCACAGACCTGGGCCACGGCTCTGCCTTATTGGCTCAGATCCTACATCCTCAGGACTGTTGAGATTAAGGCCAGCTTAGCCCCCAGAGCCTCTCTCCTGCCATAAATGGAAAGTTCTGGAAGTTGGCTCAAACACGAAGATGCCCAGAAGGTGGAGCTGGACCCACAGTTGAGCATTTTGGGGCAATTGCGGGTGTCCACTTATGTATGTTTTATTCAGAAAATAAAAGTCACTTTTATACCCTCTAATTTCAAACTCAGGATATGAATAATTCAAGTGGCTGTCTCTGTTTTTGTTTTTTTTAATGAATGGGTGGTTTAAGTTATTCGAAAGCAGGGGTCAGCAAGCCGCAGACCCGGGGCCGCATCAGGTCCAGGGACGGTTTTGTGAATGGGGCTTCATTAGAACACGACTGCATTCACTCACTGGGGCCTCGGTAAGCGACACCGTGGGCTGAGGGCTTACACACTGTAGTATTCTGCCTTCCAGCTGTAGAGTTCGTGTTTCGCGCAGAAGACCTTTCCCGAGCACGTGCTGTGTGCAGACATGCTAGGGCCTAGGGCCACAGGGGGGCCTGAGACCTGGCTTCCGCCCTCGGCGCCCTCCCACACCTGGTCATTACCAACAGCGTGCCTGGCAGAAGGCAGCCCAGCACCCACGGGCCCTGGTAGCCCAGAGAGGGTGCTCTGCGCTGTGCCCCGCATGGTGGGCGGGTGGGCAGGGAGTCCCAGGGCCATGAGGGGAGCAGACCAGGAGAGCACAGATGTTGAGACGGATAGGAAGCGTGTAAGGGCCTGCAGGTGGCTCAGTGTCTGCAGATAGCAGACCAGCAGGGACGCGAGGGAGGGGCCCCGGGGGTCAGGGAGCGAGGGCCGGCTGCGAGCGTTTGGGTATCATGATGCCATGGGACCCATCATCCATCCACCAGTTCGTCCAGGATGATTCTGCTGTGAGAGTCGGAGAGCACAGAACTCAGGTAACCAAGTCCTTCCTTCGGGGGCTGGCCCCCCAGCCACAGAGACATGGTGAGAGCAGGGCCGTCACACTCCCTCGGGGGGAATGCCCCAGAGCTGGGAGCAGGGGCGGCTGGGCCCTCCTAGGGAAGGGACTTGATAAGTCTCCCCAAGCCTCACAAGTTCCTCTTCTGAAATATGAGCTGCAGAAGTAAATCTAGATGAAAGAAAGATACATGAAGTTCTGGGCACCAGGGGCAGCTCGTGAGCCTCTGTTTGCTGACACAGTGAAGGACACCTCTGTGTGAATCCTGGGTCTCTGGAGAGGCTGAGGGACCATAAGCCCGTCGGAAAGGAGGAGACTGAGTACGACCTGTCTGCCCCAGCTGGGGGACTCCAGGGACTTCAGTGCGACGGGCCCTCCTCCTGTGAGGGCCGCACCCTAAGAGCCGACAAGCTGCGAGCCCTGGCATGACTCTGTTCAGACACCTAACATTGACTCTGGAAATCCAAAATGTCTGGGATAATCCAAATAAACTCCTATGTATTCGATTTTCTTCAAAAAGTGAAGGCAAGGAGACTAAGCAGAGTCAGGGAGCTTGGACCTCAGCAGGTGGGAGCCCAGCCCTGCCTGGGTGTGTGGGCGTCCATCTGCGCCTTGGCCAGCAGTGATTCCCACACAGGCTCTCCATCTACAGACGGGTCTGGGGCAAATCTGAGCCGGAAAAGAGGGATTTAGACGCCTTCACTCTCTACTGCTGATGCTGAGAGCACCGTCCATGGATGCCGTGAGTGACACCTGCATGGGGGACACCCTCGCTGGGGCTGCACGCTAGCCTCAGACACTCCTGTAGGCGTGAGCGTGCAGGGCACCCCCACCACTCCCTGTGTTGTGTCTACAGCTCAGTGGACTCAGGCTTCCTCCCCCGTCAGCACCTGCCTGCCCACACCTAACCCCACAGATCTGTTTTTATACAAATCCCCATGATGCTTTAATGTTACAACTTTCCTGCCAAGAAACTTGCATTTGATACAGAGTCTTTTGCCACAGTTTCTTAAATCAGCCTAAAGGAGTAACTTTAAAAGTGGAAATAACCGGGCATCATGAAACTCTTGTAAGGGGCATTTTGGGGGTAATCACACACTCAGTGAACTTTCAGGCACCACATCTTCCAAGAACAGAATCTTGGGAGTCAAGAGTTGAACAGCCTGGGCTCATAGTTTGTTGACAAACTGGTTCTGTAAAGATGTCGAATGTGGCTTTACAAAAGGTCAAGAAAAAATCTGCTTGGTCTCCATTTTATTTGAGAACACTCAAAAGTGATTTTTCTAATGAAAGCCTGAATTGTTCCATGATTTCCTTAAGATGGCCGCCTGGTCCAACAGGAGACAAGACAAATGGCCATGTTGGTCATCACCCAAAGACCATGACAGCAGCCCCGCGATTTTGGTCGTGACCAGGATGCCCTCCATGCACCAGAGCACAGGGTTAAGGGACACTGGGCTGATTCTTCTAGTTCGATACTGCGCAAGCTTCAGAATTTACCTAAGAACCCAGGTACCACAGCCGTCACCCCCAGATCAGAACCATCTCATACTTAATCAGAGTCGATGGTCATGTGAGAATGGATCTCACCTGGAAAAAAAAAAAAACACGTATCTAGACAGATAGCTTTTTTGGTAAATTAGTGATTTTGTGTAAAAATCTGATGCGCACCAGTAAAGTTTCATGCTCACTGATGCCAACATGACGATACACCACGAGATGCACAAAGGCTCTAATTTGTAAACTCGCATCCTTTTCTAAGCTAGCTGATGCATGGTTCAGGGTGTGCACAGCCTGGGGCAGACGACCTCCCTACACCTGGGAGTAACAGCAGCTCTGGCCCCACAGGATTTGGGAGGAGATTAGAGAAATTGCACTCAGTGAAGCTGAGAATATGGGGACTTCACCAGGGATGGGAGGTCCCATCGTCGGCCTGCTTGTTGACAAGGTGCGCTGGGAAGCAGCCCCAATTTGCAGAAATCCAGGCTCACCTTCCCCCGCCCCAGCCTGCCCTGTAAAACACACCAATGCCTGTCCTGAAGGGTGTGCGAAGCAACCCAAAAACGCACTTCCAGAGCTCCTGCAAGGAGCACCTTGGATCAACCCTCAAAAGTTATTATTTTTTCTCTCAACATTGGCAATATGCCAGTGGAAAGGTCGATGACCTTGGAGAGGTTTTCTTAGAAGAAACAGAATGTTCTGGAACACAATGACGGCATGGAAAGAAGAGTGTGTGTGCCACTTTGCAGGTGGATGCAAGCCAACCCTGGGGGGCACTTGACCTCAGGGAGCCTGTGAGTGGCTCTCGTGATGGAAGCTTCTGGAAGCTTCCAGCACCCCCGATAGAGTGTGGATTCAGGAGGACCTGGCACCCCGGGTGCTTAGCTGTGCTCCTGAGGCGAGAATACCGCCCCCAGCCCAGGAAGGAAGGCGTACTTCAAACCAGTCCAGGGCTGGCGGCACGTGCCTCCCCCCAGCTGTGGAGCAAGGCTCACTGGCGGGAAACAGAACAGCCATGCCTTCCAACCAGGCAAACCGCACCTGACTTGTGGGGAGCCGGGACCCCCAGCCACAAGACTGCTACGTGTGCTGGCTTAAATCCATTTAAATTAGAATCGGTAAAATAACCGGTTCCCTGCTCCGGTCTTCACCAGCTGTGTCACAAGTCTGAGAAGATAGAGTGCTGTGTCCACCAGTGCTAGGAAAACATACATTTCCTTTATACTTGACAACCGAGCTTATTTTACCTGTAAACAGTTTAGCACACAGAAAGTGCTCAGTACATTTTTATTAAATTGAATAAAAGGAAATGCACACTTGACTCCTTATTTTATTGTTCATTATTAGGTAATATGTGCGCAGGATGGGGGGTTAAGTACGAAGAGGGAAGTGAGGATATTTCGCTACCCCACCCCGCTGAGGAGGGGGACTGCAAACACTCTGTGGCCGTTTGAATCCAGGAGAGTAAAGAATGGAAGAAACCCAAAGTGTGGCAGGTGCTAGGGGAGGGTGATGGAGAAACAGTGACGTGGGGCATCCAAGGAAGTAGCAGGTGCCGCTCTGGGCCACGTGGTCAAGCAGCCAGGCAGGTGAGCATCACCTGCCCCAGGAAGAGCCACGTAGAACTGAGGACGGTGATGTCTCGGATTTGGGAGGCAGGCGCAGGTCCTAGAGGTGCGAGAACCACTCTCCAGGAGGGCAGGCTGCTGCCAGTGTCTGAGTCAGGAGAGATTTCCAGCACTCAGCCAGGCTGCCGTGGGGGGAGACTGAGGCAAAGGCAGAAGAGAGGCCCTCTGGGTACCTCAACGCAGGTGTGCAGGGACCAACTCAGCTGGCCGCTGAGTGTTGGGGAAGCCTCTGGGGTGGGTGTGATGTGTGGTGTGAAACGGGTGCAGGGGTCCTGGATGCATCCATAGCCCTGGGGAGGACGGTGTCCTGCCTGCAGAGGGGAGAGTGACGGGAAGTAGGTTCCAGAAAGCAGGTGCAGAACGAACGTGCGCCACCCCTTAGGCATTTGAGTGCAGGCATCAAGAACGCACTTGGTAAACAGGCCTGAGGATGGAGCGGACAAGGCTAAATATTAGCAGGAACGGGGCAGAGACGTTACATACATATTTCACGTTGTCTCGTATGAGTGGAATCACCGGGATTTGTCTTGTTGTGACTGGCTTATTCCACGGAGCAGGGGAGGTCAGGCTGAGTACTGCAGGGAGTGGATGGACCACCTTTGTTGATGGGTGCTTGGGTTCTTGTGAGCAGCGCTTCTGTGAACAAGGGCATGCAGGTAGTTCCGCTCTCCAGGATCTATGCCCACGAGTGTTGGGCTGCACAGCCCTTCCTTCTATTTTGTTGGAGGAGGCGCCATGCTATTGCCCGCCGTGGGGTGAGAGAGCGGGAGTTCTCCCAGACGTCTCCGCCTTCTCAGCTCAGTGTGCCCTGTGGATGGCAGTGCCGTTGGGGGTGGGGGGACCCCTGGAGGGCAGGCTTCTGGTAGACCAGTGACTCTTGTGTTCTCAAATGCCAGGAGCCCTTCTGCTCTCCACTATTTCCATGGCCTTGGGATGGTGGTGATGGTGGTGTGTCCTTTATAGGGATGATATTACACATGAAGGACAAACAGACCATAAGCAAGCAAGGGAAAACAGCTTCCCAAGAACACTCTTGGAGTTCCTATGAAAGACAAGCGGTTATTATCTGAATAAGAATCTCTCTCTCGTTATTTCTCGTTTATCCGTCCTTCCCCATCTTCCCTGCTCCCTGGTCCGCCCGCGTTCTCACCGTCATGCAGACTGCACCCTGCACCCCCCCCCGATGCCCTGGTGTGCTCACGTCCCTCCTTCTCAGCTTACGTTCTGTCACTGTGGCCACTCCTTCCCGCACCCTGTTCCCTGACCTCCGTGACCCTGTGACACAGCCCGTACCCAGCCACACACACGAGCACACGACCGTGCGAGTGTCCCTTCACTCGGAGCCATTTGCCTCGAGCACACAATGTAGACTGTTCCTTCCTTCTTAAGAATGAAGTTCATTTTGGATTATGAAAAAATCTGCATTTAAACATGATGGGAAACCTCCAGTGCAAAAATGAAATGAAGCAAGGCATCTGGAAAACCATTTCTTATACAATGTCTAGCATGAAAGGATTCTAAGTGAATAATGATGACTATTTTTTATAGACTTAAGAAATAAATGTGATGATTTTCATTGTAATGAAGTATAAAACATAATAGAGAAGTATGATTTTGAGCAGGATTAATCATATGTCATTTGGAAGTGAGAAGAGATTGAATTCATCTATAATCTGAACAGTTTATGTTAATTGCTTTTGAGTTCTTCTTGATAAAAAATACGTTCACTAATTGGAAAAATCACAGTCTTCAGTAAGAGAGCAGCCCACGGGAGTCTGCACGGCCAGTGTGCTCCCCACCAGCTCTCCAGCCAGGCGGAGATTGGCCGCGACACCTGACGGAGGAGGGGGTGGGAGGGAAGCCAGCACCCCGGGAATCCCAAAGAAGATTGGATGGAATCCTCCAAAACCAGGCGATGGCGGGTTGCTGAGATTCACCAGGAATGGGAGTGAAAGTTAACATTCTGGAACACTGAAGGTAGCCCACGAATTCCGGGCGTGACAAGAGCACAAGCAAGCCCCCGTCTCCCAGGCAGGGTGAGCCCTGGGGCCCAGACGTGCGGCACTCTGCGTGACCACCCACGGTTCACTAGCAGGACTCCTCCCAGCTGCGAGGAACCCATGGAGGCCTGCACGTGTTGCCATCCACGGGTTCCGCGATGTTAGAATGCATGTTTGTTCAGCAGTAGAAAGACTTTCCACCCTGAGGGACCTGCTGATTTTGTAAGTTGGTAAGGACAGTGCTGTTATGGATAGCCCTCATATGTGGGGCCGACAGCACGGTGACCCTGTGTGTTCTACA